TATATATATATATATATATATATATATATATATATATATATATATATATATATATATATATATATATATATATATATATATATATATATATCTCATTAGTTCTTGATTGTTGGTTGAAGATTTATCAAGTTTATCGATCGAGAATATCATCAAGGGTGAAAGATTAATTTTCAAATCGAATCAGAATTATTATTTTCTTCGGAGGAAATATACTATACATTTGATTTGATATGATTATAATTTGATACTTAAATATATAAAAAGGATCCAAAATATTGTAATACATTATTATTATCATTGTATATACATTGTACATTAATTTCAAGTGCTACTTCTCTTTCACTGCACATCTCATCACACACTCAAAAGAAATTTCGTCTTTGGATTCCGAAAAGCTTCTTCCCAAGAAACAGTACTAAGTTGGTCTTTCCTGCATGAACATCAATAGGTCGATCGTATATATTATGGAGTTTTATTGTGTACCGTATTCGCCAAAGGATTCGGATGAGCTGTGATCGCAAATTGCCAGGCATATTATGGCGTTAAATTATAGGAAATCCAACAAGAAGGTGGCAGATAATGACAAAAGAACACGTAAAATTACTTTATTCTTCCCTTCGATTACAAGGCAACGACATTTCTGTCGCATCGTCGTTCCATACGATTTATTCGTTTAGGTGTTTGATTGACATCGACAATTCTCTTTCTTCTTTCTTTCAGAGGAAACTTTGAAATATCAATTTATTTGCATTGAGCAAAAAAGAAAAGAAAAAGGCACAGAAATAATATAATAAATGATGGGTTGCAGGGGGGATGAGGAGAAGGGTAGAAAAGACATGAGGCATGGCGGTGTAAATTCCAATCAATGCTCCAATCATTCTAGCGGCATAGTATAAAAAGCTGGTGCATGACTTGCTTTCTTTCCCACACTCCTCGCAACCCTTTCGCAGTGACAAATAATAAATCAATCGCCCATCATTCTTCTGAAATCATACTCGCCTTTCTTCTCGCTTTTTCCCTTTTGAGGACAGAGATATTGGCACTAATCTAATACCCACCCAAAAGCCGGTACGTTCGTGGAGACACCGAAACCAAATCACCAAGGAATCTTGTCCAATACAACGTATGGGGGGTTTGTGGCCTACCACTTTGATCTGTGTGTAATGCAGATGAAAAGATGAGCAGTACTGAGACTCCACCAGACGAGTGACTCACACTCACTGCAATATTCTTCCCATGCTACTGTGCACACGCTGATCACCGCAGAGGCGAGATGATAAAAGACCACAGCTTTTACTGCGCACACGAGATTAAATAGGTGGAAGGAATTTGTAGATATGCGTAGGAGCAAAGGAAAAGACAGGGAGTAGGACGTCAGGGTTGGCTCCATGTTGTGGGTGTTCAAGGGTTGCACATTCGCTGCCTTCCCTCAGGCCTCATCTCATCATCTGCGATAGATCTCTCTCTCTCTCTCTCTCTCTCTCTCTCTCTGGAGGACTGCTTTCCTTTTCTTCTTCCTACGGCGTTTGTCCGTCTTTTTCAATTTTGTGTATCGGTTAGCTTTTGGATTTACCTCAAAATTTTTACTAGGTTTTTGTGGCTTTGTCTTTCTCTTGACAAGCAATTCTGTATAGTCCTTTGCAGGTGACATCTTGTTCTTATCCTTTCCACTTGAATTGCTCCCTTGTTTTTATTTTCCTGGTTTCGATCTCAAGGATCTGAAATCTTCCTCAGTATCCAGGTTTTCCTGCACACAAAAATCCCAGAGATGTGTTGTTGCATCAGGACCACCTGTTTTTTTGTGTGTATGTTTTTGTGGGATATCCCTTGCAGATGCGTGTCAGGACATGGAGTGATGATGTCTCTTTTCCCATAGCTTCGCCATCCTCAGTGCTTTCTTTTTGCAGATGTGCTACGCATCTATAGATCTGCTCGCTTTCTTCGGACTGATCGGTGCTGTGTCATCAGCCCTAGCTAGCCTCTGATCGTTTCCTCTCGTTCCAGAACAAACCAACGCACTGTACAGCATCTTGGGAGACGATCGAAGGGATGCTAATACACCAACACCAACTGGTGGATGAGAACATGTCGAATCTTACCTCTGCCTCCGGGGAAGCAAGCGTCTCTTCCAACCACCAGTCTACCTTCGCCTCCCCAAACCCAAATCCACCAAAGAAAAAGAGGAACCTGCCGGGAAATCCAGGTTTTGCATTCGGATCATCATCGCCTTCTCTTCCAAATTATGGCTTCTTGCTATGCTTTCTTCTGATCTTTGCTGTTGTCTGCTCAATACTTGTGTTGTCCTGAGGAGATCGTCTTTTACTTGTTGTTTCGTTGATTCTGGTCTCGTGCACCTTGATTAGACCCGGATGCCGAGGTGATAGCATTGTCCCCCAAGACGCTGATGGCGACCAATAGGTTTGCGTGTGAGATCTGCAACAAGGGATTCCAGAGAGACCAGAACCTGCAGCTCCACCGGAGGGGCCACAACCTCCCATGGAAGCTGAAGCAAAGAAGCAGCAAGGAGGTGAGGAAGAAGGTTTACGTATGCCCAGAGGCGACGTGTGTGCATCATGACCCTTCAAGGGCACTCGGCGACCTTACTGGGATCAAGAAGCACTTCAGCAGGAAGCATGGGGAGAAGAAGTGGAAGTGCGACAAGTGTTCCAAGAAGTATGCTGTTCAATCCGACTGGAAAGCCCACTCCAAAATCTGCGGCACCAGGGAATACAGATGCGATTGTGGCACGCTATTCTCGAGGTAGCACCACCACTCATTCGATTATCCAATTCCAGACGATATTAGCATCAGAATAGACGAAGAATGTTATCGGAACTAGGCTCCATTAAAATAACACTGCCCGAAACCCATCTGCCATTTATGCGAGTCTCAAAGAAGAGAGAGAGAGAGAGAGAGAGAGAGAGAGAGAGAGAGAGAGAGAGAGACTCAGAAATCATAATGCATATAACCCTTGGCTTTATGTTGTTTTCATCGTTCATCTTTTTTCCTCTCCTGTGTTTCCTGATGGAAGTTTAGTGCCTTTCTTAGTTATTGCTGTCCGGTCTCCGTGTAAGTTTGTTCTTCTGTGTTCTCATGTTGGCTGCTGATCGCAGGAGGGATAGCTTTATCACACACAGAGCCTTTTGTGACGCATTGGCGGAAGAAAGTGCGAGGGCTATGGCAGCAAACCCGTTTGCCAATCACCTATTCTCACAACCTACAGCTTCCTGTGAGACCTCCACTGTCCAAGTCCAACCAACCATACTCCGGAGCCAGTTCCCCCACATGATGAGAGCCAATGAGGCCAACACCAGCATCGTCAGCGGCCATGGGATGCAAGGGGAGCTCTCACCGGAAAGAGAACACCAGCCTCGACAGTTCGACATGAGATCGAATATCCCGCCATGGCTAACTTGCCAGGGACCCATAACCACCTCCCTGAACCACTTGGACCTCCCTTCTTCTTCTTCTGTCTACTCCGTAAGGTTGCAACAGGAGTACTCACGTGGGAACCCCCAAGTTCACCGGCCTCCTATTCCTCCAGCCTTCCAAGCCTCGGCCTCGTCTCCTCACATGTCAGCTACGGCATTACTCCAGAAAGCAGCCGAGATGGGTGCAACCATGAGTAGACCTAAACACCTAGGTCTGATGGCAGCTCACGCTACGAGTTCTGCTGTTCCGCCCAACAACAACACTGCCAGCTTTGCTTTAGGCTTGTCTTCGCACCAAGAAATGGGTAATTGTTCCGGCGATGGTGATGCTAGTGGAGGGAGGGGAGGCGGTGTAATTGGTGGCTTTGGGCAAGAATCGCCTCCACTCCTTCTTCATGACATGGTTACGCCCTCTCTCTCCTCGACTCCAGGTTTCGATGGGCCTTTCGAGGATGCATTCAGGGGGATGCTGGAATCAAAGGGGGAAGCAAGTAATAACAGCATGGGGGGCTTTGCAAGAAGCCACGGAATGGTTGAGGAAGGAGGTGGTGGCAGCGGTGGGAACGATGGGATGACCAGAGACTTCTTGGGACTGAAACCCTTTCCCGAAAGGGACATACTCGACTTGACAGCGTTTGATCCTTGCTTGGGCTCCTCCTCCTATGAGCACCACCGACAAAGCAAGAAGCCATGCCACGGACAGCTACTCCCGGAAATGTAGTATGGTAATTCTATATATTGTTCATCCAGTCTCCGCCTTCTGTCAATATCTGTGGTCAATTCTCCTAAGATTAGAATTGCACTGCCTCTCTTAATTTGTTGTGTCATATCCAAGTTTCGACCTTTAGCTCTGTAATAATCTCTGTTATGTACTCCTTTTGAAATAATTAGATTTCTCCTCCAACTGAAAAAATAATGATATATATATATATATATACACACACACGCACACGCACGCACACGCACAATTGACTAGAAAGTTTATCTAAGAGTGAAAAATCAATCGAAGAATGGGTAAAGGTACCTTTTCATTTTTCTTTGGTTTTGTGTTCCGACTATTTTTGTTCCTATCATTTATTTCATGCAGTGCAGCGCTGAGAAACATGCATGTGATAAATGAATCATCAGAATATGCGTCTGATATGATGTTATGGTCATGGAAAAATAAATTTTACAGCACCTGGAAATGATGTCGGTAATCCGAGAGGTGATCGTTAATAATCCAAAGTACTCACGAATTAATAATATTACTTTGATGTCGAATGACAAATCGCCTCTCATATTTTTCTTTTGGTTGCCTAAATAACAAGCATGCATGCCTTGATATCCCACAACTATATTGTTCAAATATTAATTAATCTTTAATTTGTTTTCTTCTTGAATCGTATTTAAGGTGATAACATACTGGTTTTACTTGTGTAGTTATTTATTTTGAGAGACAAATTAATCCACCTAAAATTCTGCCGCTCCTCGTCGGAGCTCCAAGTAAAACTTGCAACGCCAAACACAAGCAACAACGGCAAGACACAGGACGTGATCCTTGGATCAAAGCAGTGCACATCGCGTGCACAGTTGGAGAGGGACAGAGATAGGTTGCAATAAGTGTGAAAGACAAATGACCATTCCTACAGGCTCCTTTCGAGGACAATGTCCTTCACCTTTCGGCATGCCATACACTTTACTTTCTGCCTTTATTTTAGGGTTTTTCCTTTTTCGTGTAAACTCCTTACATTTTTATTTACCGTGGAACAACTGTTTCGCCTCATTCACATTTACTATTCAACTCCAAAAGGACAAGAATCATCTCAGATCGTGAGGGAACTGCGAACAAGTTTAATCCAAAACGACTAAACCATCTTTCTTCCTCCTCCCTCTCCACCACTTTTCACCAACCTGCAACCGCTGTTTCATCCTCTCTCCATCGAGTTGTTATGTGAGATGCGAGTTGCCAACAACAGCAAGATGCGATTTTAGCTCCTTGCTTGCCATCGTGTAAAATAACAAAGACGATTCATGAGGTGGAGATCGAGGTTTCCATCATAAATGGCCGGACGTATTCCGGAGGCTAAAAGTTTATGTATATTCATATATATGTATATATATAGAACGTTTCTTTATGTTTGTCAACGGCCCCGGAGACAAAGACGAGAGCACTTTTTGGTCAAAGCATGCAGAGGCGGGCACGCATGCAAGCGCACTGTTAAGACACATGCATCGAGGGAGGGTGAAAGGAAGCACGGAGTTTCGCCGAGAGCTGTAAGGGAATTAAACGACGCCAAGGAATCTCTTACGCTATGAGGCGCAGGTTTCTATATATCTTTTATTTTGCGAGCTTGTCACCTCGACCCGTGCGTGGGTGGTGGTGGCCATGGTGTCGTTATTTAGGATGCCGAGGCGCGAAGTGCAGCAGCACCGGCAGTAGCAGCTATCACGAGGTGGCGAAGCAGCACTGTTTCCACCCCATTTTCCACTTTCTCTCTCTCTCTCTATATATATATAGATCTCTCGCCCTCACACACACAGGCACACATTTCTTGCTTTCTTGTGAGTTCATTCTCTTTTGTTGAAAAGCTGTTGTACGAGTATTCGAATTTTTAGACTTGTAACGTAGAAGCAGTGGTTGACACGAGGCCTCTCTCTGCATGACTTTAGTAACAGGAAAAGGCGATTGTATAGTGTCGGCCGAAAGGACTATCATTGCGTCTCCGTATGCTTTCGAAGCACTGGACTTGGCGTTAGGTTTTGGACCAGTTGCTGGTCGACGTAAGGCGCGTAGGGAATCATTGCATAGCATGATGTCTATGTCCTGCATGTGACATTTAATTGGATGGGGTTGACCATGACTTACCTAGTTGATTCGCTGGGGAAGACGAAGTTTTCCGCTTGAATATAAAGATGAAGCCATAAACAGAAGAGTGGGGATTTCGTAGTCATTCGTCCACAGTGGCTCCACGCGTGAGTTGGCTCTCCGTGGAGGGCACGTAAGAGAAGAGAGCCGGCGTCAGCTGAGGCGGCCATGACCTCGAGTAGGGTCTATCACGTAACAGTGCATGTGGGATGGGGAAGACAGGAGCCCATGCAAAAGGTTGCTGCCACTGCTTCTGCTCGACACGGATTTTAATGCATCGATGAGCTGGCTTTGCTGTGGATTCATCCGGTGGAAACAGTCCACGCTCCCCACCAATGAGCCATCAGTACCTCACCATCGACAGTGTTGATAGTAGCATAAATCCACGGACAAGTGTCCTTTGATCGAGAACAGTAGCCTCAGCAAACACGAATCTTGATTTTAACGACAAAAGTAGATAGGAAAACAAATAAATATATTACCGTAATTTCGCAAACCAGTAAATGTAAGATTTACCCAGCAAATGAAAGGCCACTGTGCATCAAATGAAAGGGCAAATTCAGATAAGTAATTGAAGAAAATTATTGAAATTACAAAACCTGTCAAAAGGAGAATGTATTATTGAACATGCATAATTCATCAATACTGATAAGTAATCTTGAGATGGGATGATTCGACGACATTTTGCCCACAAATTTCATAGTAAAATAATGATTTATAGTTGAGAAATTAAAGCAATGGAGAAAACGACACAAATTACCAGTCCCAGGCATTCATATAATGGAACGAGGGTCCTCCATAGGCATAGGCTTCAGAAAGGTGCCAAACTCCATGCTTTTCACAAAGGTTTTAAATGACGAATCTGATAGATTTCTTAGTCTCGTAGAGCACGCAAATTCCTTTGGAACATCATGACCACCATCACACTCGGATGTGACGAATGATCTCATGCATCGGTCCAGCGATCAGCCGTACTGGCGATCTTATTGAATGATTAGACTGAAACTAAGAAAAATTCGTTGGGAGAATTCACAAATTCGTCCGGATTAATTTTGCTTAAACTTTCGTCAACTTCAATAAACGATATCAAAGAAATATATAATGTGAGAGGTTGTAGATAATTAGTAATTAACTCATCCATCATCATCAAGAAGAAGTAATTAATTAAAATTAATTACTGATTTAATCTTATAACAGGTAGCTCTATACCTCTAACCATTTTTAACGCTGGCGATTACATGAGTATAAATAATATATATGTCTATACATTTGGACGAGTTCTCGAAAAAACAAAAAAGGTTGGGTTTAGCTATTTTTTACTTTTATTTTATCTCTATCACTCCTTTATTTTCCCTGCCGTCTTTTTACACCCGGTTCTTTTTGGTCCGGTTCAAAGCATTAAGAACCGGACCAATGAATTAAACCAAACCAAATTAATAACATTAAAAATATATCTATCATCATACAAAAAAATAAAAATAAAAAATAAGAAAATATTTTGGAGAGCAAGAACTTATGCCTTTGGGGAGAAAAAAGAATTCCAAGACTTATTTTCAGGAATTCGTCCTATATATTTTTTATACATATATTTAAAACAAATACGCATGATTTATCTCATCGCCCCTCTAAAACGGATCGGGGACGGTGGCGAAGCCCCAAGATTAATAATGAAAGAAAAGATAGGCACTGGTGATCAACGTACCCACGCCAATGTGGCTTGTACGCCGGTGTGCCAACCGCATAGTTGGAGGCAGGAACGGCTGAGGAGATGGGCGCAATCGGGGGTGATCGATGGTGGGTAGCAAAAGCATATCACGTCCTTATTCAAGAACCCGTTCCGTTGAATTGAGCCGTGGCAAGAACGTCTGTTTACCGCGGTCTAATCGTAGCCTGCGCCACAACGTGGTCACCGTCTCCGAGCCGAGGGCGAGAGCGGCGCCTGAACCTCGCTAGGGTTTACATTTGTTCATCTCGTTTCTCCTTCCCGTCTCTTCATTTCAAGCCCGGGCTATTTAATCTTCTCTCTCTCCCGGTCTCTCGCTTAAACGAGGCCTTAAACCCTAGGTACGAATTAGGGTTTCGATCCCTTTTCTGCAGGTTCTGATCGGTAGCGGAGAGATTTAGCTCGGTAAATCTCTGATTCTTTGCAGGTCCCCTAGGAGGAGGAAGCGGTCTCTCGCCATGGATCTCGCTGAGGAGATCCCGAACGCCGTGGGCGGGGAGTACGAGGTCGAGGAGGAGGTGGTGGTGGAAGAAGAGGTCGAGGAGGAGATCGAAGAAGAGGTGGAGGAAGAGGAAGACGAAATGGGAGGCGGCGGAGGAGGACGCGGTGGTGATGGAGGAGGAGGAGAAGGGGATGAGGATGGAGATGGGAGTGCGGAGTCTAAGGGAAAGAGGAAAGATAATAGTGGTGGCGAGGAGATGAGGCAAGCCGATGCCGGTTCGTCGTCAGCAGGGTTAGTATCGAAGTCCTGAAGATTTTGGTGTATTTCTACTTACGTTATACTGCATGAGCTTGTCTCGGATATCTCGGTGCTTGTGGGTTGTTTCTCAAATGTCGATTGCGTTAGCATAGCACGATATATTGCCACTTGTTGGTTTGAGGAAAATAATATTAACCATGTTTTTATTTTCTTCTCTTCATTGTGGTAGAAAAATCTTTGTGGGTGGTGTTGCTTGGGATACTACAGAAGGTATGTGCTGTTTCTTATTTCTTCAAGTCGCTTCAATACATATTTAGTAGCAACTTCTTGATTCTTGATTGGTAATTGCTTTTGGTGACTTTATTACCTAAGGTATATTATTTAAGGCCAAGTGAATCATTTTAATTGTGGTAATCCCTCTGGAAGATTGAGCTACTTCTGGATGATGCCAAATTAGCTGTTGGCAAGGATATGTCAATTACTCGTTGAGATGAATTCTTCACCAGCTGACACTGTGATAAGATATGCAAATGATGCAATACAAAGTAAAGTTTTCATCACTTATTCGTTAACATTATGTAATCTCGTAGTAGGCACAGTTACTTCTAGTGAAAAAGGGGAGTCCTCTTGGTGCATCTTGTTGCA